AATGTATGGGAGTACCCCCCGGGCATCAGCACCTTCTCAGCTCATCATGCCATCCTCACCACACTAAGAAAGCCATTCCGTTCAGCTTAGCCCTGCGCCTCCGCCGTATCTACAGACGCTAAGTTTAAACATCGCATTAATGAACTTAAAACATATCTCCTTGCTCGTGGTTATAATGATAATTTCCTAGAAAAACAGTTCCTACGCGCTGCTAATATTTCTCGTATTAACGCGTTACAGACTAAACCCAAAGCTTCCAACGATGTTTTACCATTTGTTGTCACATATAACCCAGCACTTCCACGCATTTCTAATATCCTACGCAAACACTTTAACATCTTACACTCCTCTAACCGGTGCACAGACGTCTTTAAGCAACCGCCTTTTGTTGTTTACAGACGTAGCTCTAATCTTCGTGACCTTTTAGTTAAAGCACAACTACCCGTTATCTCCACCAATCATTTTCCGCCAGGCTCCTTCCGTTGTGGACAGAATTGTGCCACTTGTCCATACATTACTAACGGCCTCACAAGTTATACCTATACCTTTTACGCTACAGGTGAAACACGCTCCATCACTTCCCCAATTATTCGTAACACTAAAAATGTGATCTACATGGTTCAATGTAACCGTTGTAATTTACAATATATAGGTGAAACTAAGCGACGTCTCAAGGACAGATTTAACGAACAGCAGACGTGCAGTCGACAAAACTAACATTAAATCTAAACCCACTACTGTTTCTGAACACTTTCTCTCTCACTCTAACCATTCTCATACTGAAATGCAGTTAATCCCACTAGAGAAAATTCATTCTTCACGTGACTCAGTTCGTAAGGCCAGGGAGTCGCATTTGATATAAGGCCATGACTCTTGAACCTCATGACCTAAACCGCCGTGACGAATTATTGTAATCCATATCCTTAGTATTTTTCCTTTCCAGTTTTTCTGTTGTACGTCATTTCCGCCTCTCCCTTTTATTGCGACATTCTCCATTTATATAATATTGTGATTGCTACATAAGTTCAGTAACATCTGTAAACCTGAAGAAGGCTGGTATGGCTAGCCGAAATATTGTCATAAAAAACAATACACGTTGTTTTAAATCAGCTTTGCAGTAGTCTTTGGACTTCTCGTTCTTAATTAATATTTAACTTTTTGAAACAAAAGAAGTTAATTTTTAACTTTTTGTTAACCGTAACTGAAAAAAATTAGCCGATAGCCGTAAAAGAGCCAAAATTTTAGCCGATAACCGTAAATGCCACCACCCCATTGAGACCCTCTTTACAGTAACTCTACCCAACAAGTCAACATCATTTTGTATTCTCTTTAAAAACATAAAATGACTTAAACGGTTTAAATGGAAAATACAATTCTCAGAATGATGCACCTACATTTTGAAGTGTGATCGTACGTGTATGTGCAAAAAAAGAGACAAAAAAAAAAAAAAAAACACTGAAACTGATATAAATTCAATGTGACGAAAAGCGATCTGAAGTTGATATGTTATTAAAAATACAAGATTCAGACAAATTGTCAGAGGAGAAACAGGAGCTTAAAAAGCGAAGGTATAATCTATTCCGTAAACCCTGACAGCGTCCGCAGCGGCCCCCCACGGGAATTGTCCGCCTAAGCCTGGTTTCCATGGATCGTCCGGAGCGTCCCGATCTTCCCAGTCATCTCAAATATTACGATCGGAACGATTATGTGGAAACGCTACCCGGACGATCACAAACGACCCGGACGACTGAGACGACCTCGGTCGCTTGGATAGAGTTGAGTTCTATCCGGACGATCGGGATGATCGTGTAAATTTTGAAGCGATCACATGCATGGAAACGCTCTCAGACGACTGAGACGATCGGGACGATCGAAGGCTATCCCAGAAATCATCACTACTATTCCAGTAATCGAGAATAAATTCGGCCTGGACGCCGCTGAAGTTGAAAAAATAATACAAAAGTGTTTGCATCGCGTATTGGCGCTATTTGAAACTAGAGAAAGTCAAGTTCTTCACGTGATACTATGTCTTCGTGGAACTCTTCTTGCTTGTCGATGTCGCAAAATCGAGAGAAAAGAAAGATAGCAAGCCTCGAGGTTCGCTCACCGTTTAAAATCTATCATCTGCATCATCATGTTTGGCTTGTTTTGGGAAACACGGGCAAAAATTCTATTGTCTGACCCAGAGACATCGCTGACGTCCCCGGTCGTGTCTCTTGTCGTTGAGGCGATCGAGACGATCGTGTGGAAACCAGAAATGACCCTAGTCGAAGTCCGGATCGTCTCTAAATTTTTTTGAAATTACCAGGGCTATCGGGACGATCCGGACGATCATATGGAAACCATGGTTTACGGGAAAATGGCTTGACCACCTGCTAATTATGACGTCATATCTCGTATCCATAGTAACTGACCATCACTAAACTTGTCTCAAAACGGGCGCGAGGGATAAACAAAGAGCTACAGAAAACTTCAGGTGTTGACGTAGGTGCTTACAGGTGCTTATGTAGGGGTGGCAACCACCCCCCAGCCCACCCTTGTACGTCCGAAGGTTAATAGCTGACACATTTCCCATATTAAGCTTCTCATTCCCATTTCAATATATTTTCCCCCTTCCCTATTAGAGTCACAGATAACAACACGGGGAAAATCAGGTTCAAATAGTAAATTTATTGAATTCTCTTAAACTGGTTAACTTTACTGACTTAGAAACAGATAACAAGCCTAGTATAAAGCAGAAGTTAAGATGTACTGAACTTGACTTCATTGGCTTCTTTTTACACACTGTTATATTTTATCAATGACCACATTCGTATTAAACTGTAAGACAGCCCGACTTTTTACCTTGGTTAAGAACGCGCGCACAAGCGGTTAATCGAAAGGGCGGGGAAGGTGAAAAAGGGCGAGTGATACTGGGCCTACGAGCGTGTGAGGCTCCCGCGCCTCGCGCGAAAATCTCAAGCCTGCCCTTTGGGCCTTTGTATTATCGATTATGAGGGAAAAAACCGACTGTTTTGCAGCTTACATACAAAGTAGTCCTTCACAAAGTAAAAAAAGAAAAAATACACTATAAAACCGCGTATAACAACTAATTCTAAAAATCTAAATGTATAATATTAATAGGCTATCTCTGAGTCACCCCAAGCTTCTTTCCTTTTTTAAGCGAAATGATTATGACAAAAATGACGTTTTTTACTCCCATGCAAATGAAACTTATTATCACAAAAAGGATTTGCACTTAGCCTTGCTTGGAAAGCGAGGGTTTGTGGAACTCGGAAATTGCCTGTTGATAACGCATATTTTATCTTGATTACAAACATCAATTGCGAAAAGATAAATTAGCTAAATACAGTAAAACCCGCGACTAAGAATCTGCATTACTAGGTTCTCATTTTCTGAAGAAAAATACATTGTATTTATTTTCAGCAGTATAGAGGAGGCCTAACGGGTAAACTTTAGCCTTACATGCTCTTAAAAACCGAGTTCTTAGTCGCGGGTTTTACTGTAGTTTGTAATGTTCAAAACACGCGCTGTGAGTGATTTGAACAGCTTCAAAAACGTCCCCTTAGTATTTTATTTCAATTGGATTCTTAGTAATGCATTGAAAAAGGAAAAAGCTGTAAAAATAACAAATGCTACATTGGTCAAATACTATGCAAATTGATTGAAGAACCCAAGAACACAGCCCCAAGGGAGAGGAATTCGGGGGGGGGGGCTACTCTACAAAGTTTTATACAGGGAGGGTCCGCCACGTGGTCCAACCCTTTACCAGCTTTTATATACCATTTTTGACAGAAAAGGTACCCCCTACTGGGAAATGATATGCCTTTCACATACCTAATAATCGCTGCATCCCTTTAACTGTTGTAAAAGCACTATCCTTTAAATATGAAATACTAGCTAAACTATGTCTGAAGCCTGAAAATGGTACCCCGGAGTTCCCCCCCGCTACACAGTTTTTAAAAGCGTCTATCTGCCTTCGCAATACGGCTCTCCAAATGAAAGAAATTTCAGCAGTTTGATGATAATCGTACAGGAGGAAAAAAATTGCTTGAGGAAAATGTCATTTCCATTGCACAATTTCTCAAGTTCATTAGACAATAAGCATGCCTACTGAATTTTTAATGGATTTTTTAATTGGTTAAAGGAGCTAGTACGAGGATATATTGCTGTTTTAGGTCCATCTTTGCTCCCGTAGAGTAATTAGTACCAATAATAATAATAATATTTTTTTTGGATATCATTAAAACTTGATAATGTTGGCTCAACTTTTTCAAGTCAATCCATATTCATCCTTGCCAACCCTTTACAACAACACCAGGAAACGTTTTCAACGCTTAAATGGCATGTAATGTAAAAAAGTGAAAACAAGACTGGACCATTGTTTTTCAAAATCAATTGATATGAAGAGACTGTTTATCTATTTTAAAAAGATATTAGCAAATAGCGTGAGGTAGCCTCTTGAAATGAGTAACAGCTTCTGTATATGTATTTACAGTCTTTTTAGAGCGATTTTCGTATGACCTTGAAATGAACACACCAGAAAAAAACAGAACAACAAACGAAAGGAAATAGAGCGATTTGATTGGTTTATCGAACGGATACAAACGGGAATGGCTTTTGGTTGGTTAAGGAAACGTTCGGGTGAAATTAAAACCTTCATGCCCGAGAACTTTCCAGAAATCAATTGATACTTCGCTTCGACATCATACTGCAACACGACTGGCCAATCGAACAATGTCGTCTGCATATTAGGGTTTTCTTTAGCGGGAAAACGAAGAGTCCATGTTTTGATCTTTGATAAAACAAATAACGAACACTTAGCCGAAACCATTTTTCAAGGTCATAGGTAAATTGCTCTATCGATCTAAAGTAAGTAATAACACTATGCATTGACCTACTATTTTCAAGAGATTTTGTTTCATGCAACAAAACAGCAATAGTTGACATAGTTGACGGGTCATCATTTGAACTTACAATAAAGTGTTAGACAAGGTAAATTAACGGGCTTGAAGAGGAATAGCAGCATTTCGTCTTTGTCGACGTTTAAATAATATCAGGAGAGCTCTTCTGAACTCTGGCATTCTGATTGTGTAAATAATGGGATTAACAAGCGAGTTTGTGTGGAATAGAACAGAAAAAGATGATCTCAAGCGAAACTGTGTCCGTAAAGAAAGTCTATCTACAACAGAATAAGGAACAAAAGTATATACAACAGATGGTAACCACAGCAGCAAAGATACAGTGGTCATTATGAATAATGTGACAGTCAGTTTTCTTTGTCTATTGGCTGCACCATGGGACGGAGGTCGAGTTCCACACCAAAATTTTAAAGCAATGGAGGTGTAGGAAACACAGATAGCAACAAGGCAAAGGAGACCATATGACATCCATAAGTACGAAGGAAATAGCACTTGCCACTGTTGATGCAAGTTCCCATAGAGACGTATTAACGGAAAGGGAATTACTGTCATCGCAGTTAAAATCCAGACGCCTGCAATTGTTACCCTGTAGGCCCATTTTTTAATGTTGCGATGCCTGAATGGACGAAACGTCGCATGCATCCGATCTAAAGAAATTATTGCAATGCTTGTTAGAGAGGTGAGGGGGAGCCACGCCGCGGTCGTGCAAAGCACAACCATAGTAGGTGGCAATTCCTGCCGGGTGAAAAATACATCTCGAATTTCGCAACCGTGGAGGAGGAAATGAAATACTATAAAGACAGTGAAACTTCCTCCAACAAACATATCAGCCACGGACAAGTTTATAACCAAGTACATGGCACGAGTGCGAAGATTACTGTTCTTTACAAAAAGAATAATTGATAGGAGGTTCACTGCAATCACAGCAACAGTTATAGTAAGCGATACAGCATACCATGTGCTGCACTCGGCTGAAGAGATTATCCAGGAGATTCTTCTGGAGAACATTGTTTTCTTTTAATTCTCTTTTCTCCTCCCTTCAAAAAGAAATCGAATAAAGTTTGGTTAGTTGAAAAAAGGAAGTTAATTAGAAGGTGGACTAAGCGGACTGAAGTCGACTCCTTAAATATCAAGAATGGAGGTTGTATATTGACAACAATTCTTCAATAGAGTGCTCACCTTAACTTTAATTTCTTGATACTTGTGTTAACACTGAAATAAATCCCTGGCGAGTTTCACCTGTGGAAAGAAAAAATCAAAAACAGCGGTTACGGGGAGAGTAAGATGAATATGTTGACTGAAAACTGAGGACAAAAAAACATATGTGAATTTTAGCTGTTGTTGTTGGCGCTCATTGAACTGCGAGTCAGTAAGAAGTAATTGATCGCCTGGTAGAAAGTTTATTGTCACTGGGAAGGGGGGAGTACTCAAGAAAGGTTGAGGGTAGGCTCCGCCCCGAGGTCTAGCCACTTACCCTTTTGTATAACATTTAATTATGACAGAAAAAGTACCCCTATCACATACCTAGTTTGGAACTTCGAATACATTTTTAACTGCTGTTCTGATCCAGTGTCCTTTAAACTATGAATAAATCACAAAACTAGAACGTTGTTGTTGTTGTTTTTTTTTTCTACTTTCTCACAGCCATAAAATGCATTTGTTAACCCTTCGAGCCTTTTTTACAGACCGAAATGATAGATTTGCCTACTTTTTCATATACTTCAGATAGTAAATCCCCACTTTTTTATATACATGAAGCCCAAATAAGGTATTCCTTTTGGGCGGAGCCTCCACGTATAGGCCATTGTAGGGAGTACCCCCCGAGCGCCCCCGGGGTACGTTTCAAGAATATTTCCTCCTTGTGCCAAAAAAAGTCGAACAACTTCCAAGTTATCGTACCTGGAAAATGTCTTTAAAAGAATATTAGAAAACCCAATGATTGAAGAAACTTCTTTGGTCAGTACGAAGTCCGATAAATAAGTTCGGCTACTACAACCCTTCTGCCCACTGCAACGTGCAACGATTAACCAAGTTATTAACCGAACGGTAGGCCTGTTTTTCAGACCTCCCATAGTATAAACAAGATAATTTTTTTCTTTCAGAAAAATTGTCGCTGAAATAAACTTGTTGCCAATATGAACTTTCTTTTTGATGACTCCAGAACGTAGAACGAGCAAAATCTTTTATTACAGGAACTAGTTAAGGGATGTGCGCGCTTTCCTGTTCATCGCGGGTGGCCATTATTTACGTCCTAACTGTCTCAGGCGAGTGCTACCTGTGCTACCCATTCTTGCTAACAGCTGCTTTCTGTTAGCTTCCTGTAACCGTTTATAGGTTTGTAACCACAATTATATTTTTTTTATGTCAGTTTCCCATTAAAGGATAGGGACTTTGAAGCAAACGAAACATATATTTTTCAAAACATGTGGTCAACATCCTTTGATGTTTTGTTCCATTGCATATGTTTGGGTTGTTACTTGGTATTTTCTTACTTATCCTTTGTTGAATTTTTAAACGCTCAACGATCTAGTATTATTGAAAACCTAAAAAGATGAAGATGTTTTTCAAATTTCTAGTTACAAAAGAAGACACAAAATAGAAACTGCAGAGTCTTAAAACCTCTTTCTACAAGGTATGGCGATTAAAACCAGCTGTACATTGTATCTTCTTATAATCTTGTCTTTTGTAAGGTATGGCGAATGTAAGCTTCTCTTTAAAAGAAAAACAAAATTCAGCGAGGTTTAACTGTGCGGCGGTGACTATTAGCAAGATGACTTCGCGATCATGCGACGAGAGGAATTGTTTTAAAGGCTTATCGTTGTTTTTTCTCACAACAACTTAGCGCTTACCTTTCCAACAAATACTGAGCTGCTTGGTTGTCTTGAAGGATCTTGAAGGAAGCAAAGAGCTGAAAATTTTTTGCTCAAGTTTGCAACAGATTCATTCCCTGGACTGACGTCAAGGGTTTCCTTGTTCAATGTAAACTTTTGGAATCATAAGGATAAACTTCAGTGAAAACGGTTCAAATCACGAGGAGCCGCATGCAGTAAAATTTCTGTCCCGTAATTTAATCAGTTAAATCATCAAAGTTGACAGGTCTTTCTGATGATCAAAGCGACCGTTCGGTTTACCATTTACACCTTTAGTGCGAAGACTGTCACGGGAACATTAACACCTTCAGGATAATTGCTTACCATAACAGTGGTAGGTCGCGCGCGTCTGGCCGGTTTCGAAGAACGTGATCGTGACTGTTGTTTTCATTCAGTGACTGTGCGCGTTGATATGCCAACGTTTAAAACAGACTGCAACATTAAATTTTTGTTATAAAAGCAAAGAAGCTGCTGAGTAGAAACTAAACCGTCCTAGACTTATTCCGTTTCATTCGTGTACTTTCATCTTGATGGGGTCTGTATGATGAATTTACTTCTGCCTTCTAATCAGGCATGTAAACAACATAGAGATAAAACATTTCATTTTGCTTTTGTGGAGTAATTTCATCTTAAAAAAGTTAAACTAGTGGACCACTTTCTCCGCGTACTTGTAAAAATAGGCATTGAATATGTGGCGCTACAGTGCGAAAATCTTCTTGTTGTGGATTAGATTTCAGTATACATATTCTTCATTTCGCGCCAGAATAAATTAGTTTGCGCGCAAAGGGCTTCTAAAAAAAGATCACAAGGTTTGTCCCACGTCGAGTCCACCTTCTAGAGATACGCCGGCATGGTAGCTGGAATACATTGCCGAGGCGAAGATCTGGCATTTTTTCCTCCTCGTCTTTTTTCTTCCGCGACGTTTGTTTATATTTGTAGTGAGAATGCCGCGCATATCGGTGGATTTTACTTCAGTCAAGCGGCTTCAGTTCCTGCGGCTTGCTACTCATCATAAAGAAGAGTGCCGGAATCGCTTTGTTCGCCTTTAACAGATTTGTTGTCGAATGCAAGGTAAAAGAACGGACTACTGTAAGGTAAGAATTGAAGTTTAAATTTGTTTCTCGGGGAAAAATAGTGCATACAACTCGTGAAACCCGTGAGTATTACCTCTGTTTAATATACCGGATGTCATGCGATGACCCCTCGCTTTTACGATGGATAGGACGGATACAAACAATAATTTCTTTCGCAACGTTTAGTATCATTTACTTAAAATGGAGATCATCTGAGGACGATTTTTCGTTATATATGCTTCATTTCTTGGCTTATTCCGGCTACGTGCGAAAAATTAGATGACAATGTTTGTGTGCTATAATTATACTGATAATTTAATGCCTTGAAACTCATGAAAGCCAAACTTGTTTAACCCTAGCAAAAAACTCTTTTAATGGAGGAACTCAACCTGATAGTTGCACTAAAATCTAATAATTGTTACTGCATTTGCATGCTCTCTGTAACCTCGTGGGTAGAACATACCCGATGGTTACATTAATAATAATCACTGCATTTGCTCTCTGTAACCTCGTGGGTAGAACATACCCGAAGGTCACGTTAATGATAATCATTGCATTTTCTCTTTGTAACCTCGTGGGTAGAATATACCTGATGGTTACATTTAAAATAATAATCACTGCTTTTGCTCTCTGTAATCTCGTGGGTAGAACATACCTGAAGGTTACGTTAATAATAATCATTGCACTTTCTCTTTGTAACCTCGTGGGTAGAACATACCTGATGGTTACATTAATAATATCACTGCATTTGCTCTCCGTAACCTCGTGGGTAGAATATACCTGACGGTTACATTTAATAATGATCACTGCATTTGCTCTCTGTAACCTCGTGGGTAGAACATACCTGAAGGTTACGTTAATAATAATCATTGCATTTTCCCTTTGTAACCTCGTGGGTAGAATATACCTGACGGTTACATTTAATAATAATATTAATCACTGCATTTGCTCTCTGTAACCTCGTGGGTAGAACATACCTGAAGGTTACGTTAATAATAATCATTGAATTTTCTCTTTGTAACCTCGTGGGTAGAACATACCTGATGGTTACATTAAAAATAATCGCTGCATTTGCTGTCCGTAACCTCGTGGGTAGAGTATACCTGATGGTTACAATAATAATCATTGCATTTTCTCTTTGTAATCTCGTGGAAAAAAAAAAATTAATGCCTCTCTCCTGGAAATTTTGCCCTGTCCTTTGAGCATAGTGATCTTTGGGTAGCGAATTCACGAAAACAGGTAAAACGCTTTTTTTAACAACAGCATTTATATTATTTGGCTTTTTGAGGGAGGTTAAACATTAATGGAATATAATATAAAAAAAGCTGATAAAGCGGAAAAAGTTATCTTTACAAAATGCGCTTTGACAATGTCAAGGAGTGAAATAAGCTGAAGTTTTGTAGTTAGCCCGAAGAAAACCTGTTCCTGTATGAAAAGCAGTTCTGATTCCCTTCTCTTAACTAGAAGAGATGCATATCCCCGTGAACCAGTTTTTTAACTAGGAGCGATTCCCACTCACTTAAGATACTTTATTGACACGAGTTCCTATTTCAATGTATGTCTAATTCAAGCTTAGCCGCGTGATAGCTCTTCATTAGCGAAAAGGTCCAAGTGATATTTTGATTGACGTGTTGTTTTGGATCCTGAGGTTTTTTAACACCTTTTCTCTAGCTTAACTGGCGAAGATATTCTAGGAATTTGCCCTTCAATTCCAAATTCTTTGATGTGCCGCCAGATGCCGTGCAAAAATATCACCTCTTGCGGCTCCTCGTGAAGTTTCGTATGTACTCCCAGTAAATGATATGGTTCCCTTTCCTTAATTTCGCACCCTTTTAATAGCAAGAGAGAACGTGACGCTTGAGTTAATGTTCTAAACACTTCTGACAGTTGCAGCCATAATAGTCTATTAATTAGAACCAATTTTTTTTTTTGAGTTAAGTTTAACTTCATGATTAAGCGGCCAGTAATGAAAATGCCAAAATAATTGTAGAATTATGTTCACAATGTGCGTCAGACGATTTTT